CCGCCCGCCAATTGGGCACTTACTTTTTACCTTCCCGCTGCTTTTGAAGTATGAAACCGATTTTCCTCATCATAAATCTACCACAACGTTTAACAGCTACGATCAGTGCGAAGCTTCGCCGCCATGTTTTTCAGCGGTTTCCCATAACATACGTATTGCAGGCGCAAGAGGCCACGTGCGTTCTTTCGGCATAAATATTTATTCAGGCGATTTGGTGTCCAAAGATGTTCTGAAATCTTTCCGTAATTTATTACAAGGTGGAGACGTAACATCCGTGAAGAAATTAGTGGAAGATTTAGATATTCTCTGGGTGTCAAAAGGCGGAAATGCAGATCTGCCAAAGTAGCCAAAAGATGATTTGCGCACTGGTTTGATTCCTGATTACATCAATTGCAAATATTTTGCCGGCAAGCCCAAAAATTTTGGTTTCTGTTTCGCTGCGAAGGAAAAATTTTATTGACACTTTTTGGCGACACATTTTTCCATATGGCGACTGAAAAAAAAATTCAGTCGCCAGTTGGCGCCTACCTTAAAAAGTTAATTTCGGACCCTGGTAAGTCCGTCAAATTTGGTCCCATTAACTTGAAAGATATGATCTCCGGGTAAAAGGCCTTCCCTTTCAGCAACGGAGTTATCGTCCACGGAGGACACATACAAACCAACACCATGCTCGGCTCCTCCGCGAATGCAAAAGCCAAATCCAGCGTTTGAAGGCCGCTTTACGGTTATTCGCTTGATGGGATACTTCACGTCCCGCGAGGAAGGGTATTGCGTTAAATTCGGAAGATCTATCCCTGAATCCGATGCGTGCCCGTGGAGATTGTGCGGAAGACTCGATGAGGTGGGGATCCTGTGTAGACCTATGCGTAGACTCACCGGCGATCGACCGGGCGACTTCGAACGTTGGCGGGCTTCGAAACTGTGCTCCCGAAGTCTACAGAAAATTTCTTGGTCATGATGGGGAATAATTTGCCGTAACAGTGGGTATACTTCTCTCTTTCTTGGTGTATCGAGGACTGACTTGAGAGATGCCACAAGATTGTTGACATTCTTTTCTCTTTGATATTGGTTTAGTGATTGAATTAAAAACGTTCGATCTTCGTTGTTGAGTACTTTTGTCAGCACAGCGTGCAGTTCGCGAACGTTCTCGCAAATTTTCCTTGGTCTCTCTCGTGGCGATATTTCTGTCGAAATGTCTCCCATATCCCAAACCTCATATCGGTGATTTCAACTGATATCTCTGTCATACAGTATGAAATCCCTGTCGGCCGCGCTAATAGTATCCGATATACACCTCCATTATTCCCTCCGTTCGCTTTATTTTGCTAAGCCCAAACAAATCTCGTGAAGTTAGGCGACCACATCGGTCACGTGACGCCTCAAATCGTGTTGTTGTGTGATGTGTGACAGGCATGATCTTTGTCATGGTTTTTTCACGCCAGGGAAGGAAGTGACAGCTCACGAGATCACACAAATACCCCAGCAGATATATTTTTCTTTAATATTCGTCTTTGGTTATGATCCAATCATGAATGGCAATGTCGTAAAAAGTCTACAGGGACCTCTTAATATCTTTCTTATAGAGGTCCAGCCAAATGTATATAACAATAATAATAATAATAATAATAATAATAATAATAATAATAATAATAATAACTTTATTTGAGTGTCTAGTCTTCTAGCTAGCCTTAAGCTTACTAATCGGGGACACTGTTAAAATTAAAATATAATATAAGTATAAAAACGATTCTGGTCTATTTACATTAAATTATACTACATTTTCGCACACTCTTTGTATTTACATTTAATTCCTACAGTTAAGATACTACTTTAGAATACGGAATATCGAACCTATATTTATCATACTTATAACTAGTGTTTACGGCTGAAGAGTTGCAAAGGTGACACCCTTTGCATGTGTCGCCTCCGACAAGTCCACTGAGGTCCCTTCCCCTGATGTTCGCCTTAAATCGCTGCAAGGACGTTTCTTTCTTGTCCCTGTTGTCTAACTTCGACCACATCAATGGCCTAAGGAAGCGAAGGGAATGTTTCCCGTACTTAACAGTTCTTACTCTTGGTACGTAAAAATCTGAGTTCCTTAAGCTGTAGCTCGAGGGTGATCTAGGAAA